GAATTGCAGAGCGATAGAAAAGCTTATATAGCATCTACAAAATAAAAGGCATGTACGACCATCTTTATGGATGCTTGGAATCTTCTAGTTTCAGATGAAGAATGTTGCACAACAACTAGATAGCCTTACAAGTACGCATAAAGAAGGCAGCTGGCTAATGAATCATGCAATCAAATAGAAATCAGAATTTGATGAGTAAGAAACGTTAGATAGACAAAAATTCGTTGCTCAATAAGATTAAAATTGAACTAGAACTCATGTTTCCCAACACCATAAAATAGGCTATTTTTCAATATCTGGATCAATCATTCGTAAAGATTGAAAGAGCAAGGAGGGTGTTGCCCAAATGATTAGACCAACAATGTTATATGCACGTGGTGCTAGGCAACTAGGTTGCAACATGTCCATATGATGACTGTAGCTGGATTACAGATGTAAAGATACTTGAGTGATAATAATACAAACAAAAGATGCACTTAGGAATGTATGCATTCATAAAACGGTAGAAGTGGTATCAATTGAACATATTATGAGGGGAAAATTGTTTAAAGAGGTTTTGAAAATGTACAACCATCAAGAAATGCAGGTGTTTGAAATTATACTATTATTTCAAATATACTATGTTACATCTTGACTTTATGGAAAGTTGGACAAAAATAACAGACCCACAAGTAAATATGTATGCAGAGAAGAACGAAACGGTACGTGTAGTAGATACTTACAGTGGAAAGGGTTGGTACCGCAGTAGGATCAAAGTCCTCACAATGATTTGGATCAATTGGAACACAAACACGACCTGAAACAAAATAATAAAAAAAGCATCATTAAGAACATCCAGATGCATAGTAATCATATCCGGTACCACCCAAGAAAGGAAAGAGTGCCCCAGGGACTAACCTGTTTTTGGGTGTACACAGAATGGTGCCTTTAGCAAATGGTTCATGTGTTTTGAAACCTGCCATAAACAGATACATTGCAAGAGAGAATCTTTCAGCATATAATTCTGAAGTAGTTAGTTTATACTTGCTACACGATATCCACACTTCCAAAGTGTAAATGAATCAGAGGAGGATGTATACTAGAAACTACTCACTAGTATTGGATAAAAGGAGACAGTAAAAGAAAGTGAAGATGTTCAAACCTCCATATCCAGCCTAGGGTAGGTAAAAGAGAACACAATCTCTTCAACGCACCTACGCAATCCTTGCACCTTAAATAATAAATGATATCAAGAGAAATTAAGTACAGAAGAGGTTAAACTACAATCTAAAACATCAAAATCCTATCACAAAGAATTATTGCCACAGGACAATGTACTATAGGACTTAAACTCACAAACATCTGCTACTTTGTACCTTGGGTTTTCCAGATTGCAGCATAGTTTTTAGCTGCTCCCATCTAACAACATTAATGTCTTCTTTTGAGCTGGAGGTTTGTCTCTTCTCTTGCCACCTTCCACGAAGCTCAGAAGTAATAGCTGCACGGATAAATAAAATACTAATAACTTGTCCATCATTCCAGGATAGGGCATAAAAATGCATAGGACATGAAAAGAAACATCATATACATTGATCAGGATCGGGAATCATATCTAAGATCTTTTCATATCTTTCCTCGGTTGAAAATATCTTTTGACTCAAAAGCAATTTCTTAAAGAACTCTGTAAGAACTCCAGTATAAGCTCTCCTGCAGGAATGAATAGGTGTTAGTGGATGCAACAAATTGTCCAGTATTAGAAAGTCAATAATACATGCGACAACTTACGAAAGGAATGGATGGAGAGCATGACCAGTAAAAGAAACCTTTTTCTGACTGTTTTCATTGCCCTGAACAAAATATAGAATCAAAATCTTTCACAAAAATGTATACTGTATATGATATCTCAAAACCCGAATGTACGTTAAACAGTGCACCACCTTATAGACACGAAAATAATCAGCAATAGCTGCCCTCTGTTCATTTGTCAGCCTGCAGAAAAATGTTCATAATTGGAGTTTCATGACATGTCTTAAGAACCTAAGAAATGGAAGTATAGATTACAGCTGTTCAGAGAATTACCTTCTTGCTTTCCCATCACAAACCCAGCAATGAACGCCACGTCTACCACTATATACCCAGAGAATGTGACTGAAACCAAAGTCATCTGTAGAAATACATTTAGAAATTTGAAAAGGCAAGGTTGTAACTTGTAACCAGTAATCACACATACATCATATGACAATTAACGAAGTTCCTACCTCTAAGGGCTGTATCAATCACTTTGATAGCAATTGTCATAAGTGGCCAGCACTCCAAGCAAACATCAGCTCCTGAACAGCAGTACCTCACATCATCGTAGTCAGACATATCCTGTTGGAGAAAACCCAGTCAAACATGTTGTACAACAGTCGTAAAAATTTCAGTTTGATTGTGTTATTGACAATTCAAAATTTAAGTGTGTGATTAGCTTACTATATCAAAGATCAGCTCCCTCTCCACTGGGGTGAAAACATTATCGCCACTCTGAGCATATGCGTGCCTCTTTGAAGGCTGCAAATAAGAAAGATTAGAACTGAAATGAGAGATATGGTGATAAAAGGTTATCACACACCCAATCATAGGTAAAATTAAAGAAACCATGGATTGAGATTCTGTCTCTGATCTATACTTGTGCATTGTTGAATAACATTTTTTTTCGATTTGCATGATTCAATTAATAATTGAGTCAATACTGGCATTATGAAATAGTTGGGCGGGAAGAGCGGCATTAGAGCATATACACAGCAAAAGTTTAAGCCACAAAATCATATTTGGTTTAGAAACAAGAAAACTTACATCAACACTATACACAGGTCCAATATCTATTTTGACCGGACACTTTTCTTTGACAGAGCTTTCAAGCTCAGACGCAGAGTTGAAGGATTGGAACCGCAGATAGACATCATTGTCCAGTGTGAAAGAGAACTCTCTCCGGCTAAAGTAGGACTGGTCGCACGCGGGATGCTTCCCATCTGCAAATAAGCAATCAGATTACGTATTCACAGTAGGGACAACTTTCAGTGCGTAGGTCAGGGACCTGGTTGATTAAGATCCACGGCTTACCATTTCCATAGGACATCCATTTAAAAATATCTGCATATGGAAAGAGTTTTCCTGCCACAAATAACACTTTCTTTGAGGGGAAGATTACTTACACATTAAATAAATCAGATGCTAATATCTAATTCTAAGTTATAACTTGGAAAGTCGTAAGTGACTTAAAATTATAACCATCAATCAAACTAATTCAACAAGCTGAAGTGGTGATCTGCTCATGTTTTGAAATCTACAGAATCATAAGTTTCTACAGCAGTCATAAATGTGAGGATGTAAAGGTAAAAGAGTCCCACGTCGGTAAAAGGAGAAACCTTGCAAGGGCTTATAAGAGGTTGGGCTACTCCCCATATTGCCAATTGTTTTATGGTGGAACCTCAACTTTCTTCAATAAATTGCGTAGCTAACCATATCACATTTAAATAGAATATAACTAAAATAGGGTTTACCATAGTAAACTTTGAGATAATGGGAGTTAAATCCTTCAGGAACAACACTCCCTTGTTTCTGTTCATATTCGTCGATCATCATGCCATCGCTTCCTTTAGATACTTGCTCTCCGGTCATGTTTGAGCAGATTACCTGCATTCCATGTCCGATCAACATTGTCAATTTTCCAAAATTCATAGAGATTTAAGCATGTAACTACTAAACCCTAACCTAATAGCACTGACAAATTGTACAAGTTCATAACATTTTAGTATCACAACCAAACAGCATAAATCTGCACGCAAAATTGACAAAAATCAGAAATTAAGCGTCACTTATTGAGCTTTTCCACAAAGTCAACAAAATTACATAATTTTAACGATAATCCAATACGCCATCATATTTCGCTGATTGCAGATAATTGGATCAGTTGAAATTTCTCCATTTCTAGGTTCTCTGGAAGATTTCTCAAAATTCAGAGAAATCAAAATTAAAATACAAGTAGGTTAAATAATCGATTCCTTAATTCCCCCTAAAAACCCAACAATGAAATTAAACAAAACTAACATTTCAACAAGAATGAAAAAAAGGCTCAAATTTCAAAACCCAGGATAATAAAGAAACAAAATTGACAGTAAGTATCACAAAGATGTTGGTCGAACTCGAGAAGTAAAATATAGGATAACAGAAACTAAATTTTCCAAGCATTTTCTCGGCAACCAAACAGGAAGTGGAAGTAAAAACAAAATTGAAATCAAATGAAAGCTTCACATACCTTGGAGAGAGCCAAGTGAAGGATGGCGGCGAGAAAACAGAGAGAGAGAGGGGTAACCGAAATGGCGGTAGGGCAAAAAACTGGGACTAGGGAAGGGAATATTTTGGCGGGTAAAAAGGTTAAAGGGGATATTTGGCGGGAAAGAAGGAAGCACGCGGTCCCCTGAATTGGATCTGGTGACCCCCCAGTTTGGGCTTTATGGGCCGAAACGTCCAAATTTTCTAGCCCAAAAGTCCGCTCCTATTTTTATTTTGGAATTAAAATTTGTTTTCGATTTTCACTTCAATTAAAATTGAGAAATGCTAGTCATCTTTGAGCTAATTTTTTACCTTTTTATTTTTTCAATATATTTCAAATGACACGTGTCATTTTATACACAAAGAGTGTGTAGATGTACGTCATCGGATTACTTCTGGTTGCCTTTCTTTTTTTCTTCTCAATGGACATGGTCGAAAGGACTAATTAACGTCTTCAAATTTAATGTTTTTGAAACTATATTTTCTATTTTTCTTTATTAATTTCTAGCTAAAATTTTATTTTTTGTGTGAAAACAAACAACATGTATTATTCGAAGAAGTGAAAAAATTCAAATATAAACGTTAGTGAAAGAAGTTATTTTGTAATTACATTTTTTGAGGTATTAAACTAGAATCTTCAAAAATAAAAATAAAAGGGAAAAAAGAAAAAAGAAAAATAAATAATAAGTACTTGGTACGAATATTATCAACCACCGAGTCAGGTTCTTAAAGCGTTGAGCTCCCCAACGTTCCTCTACGCACAAGCTCCCTCCTCCCTTTTTGCCCGTTGGAGACAATCACTTGCAGACAAAAAGCACCGCTCCAGAACCCTCCGATTCCGAATTCCCACCACCCTCACGGCTCTTCTCAGCCGTTAGATCAGCTTCCCAAAACCCACAACCACTCCCCAGTAAGATCTTCAACCGCAAGCTTCTTGCTTTCGGTTAATTAATGCAAACCCCATTTCGCATCTAGACCAAAAATTCGACTGTTGGAACCTTCCCGTTGGAGTTTATCTCAATCCCGCAATTGCCCTCGTAGTTGCTCGAAACTACGAGAAATGGGTTCTCTCTGGCTTTCCCTTTCACTCCTCATCTGCCTCAGCTACTTCTCGCTCTCGGCGGCGGACCCGGTGACTTGCTCCGGGATAGTGCCCATGAGGTACCGGAACGACAAGATTTCGATAGTGGATTTTGGTGGCGTCGGCGACGGCGTTACGCTGAACACCAAGGCGTTCCGGGAGGCGATTTATCGGATTCAGCATTTGAAGAGGAGAGGTGGTACGCTTCTTTACATACCTCCTGGGGTCTACTTAACAGAGAGCTTCAACCTCACTAGCCACATGACTCTTTATTTGGCTAAAGGTGCTGTCATCAGAGCCACCCAGGTAAAAATCCAGCGTGCTTGTTTATCACCAATTCAGTAAGTTCATCTAAATTTTGTTCTGTAATTTGATATTTTTACTATGTTAGTGATTAATTTTAGGACCCAATTTTAGTTTTGGTCTACATTTTTTTATGCTTAAGTTTTATTGGGATGTCTATTGTTTACCGAAAGAGTTAATGTGATGAGGAGATAAACTTGGTAGGGGTGACCGACGGGGTCATTCTCAGTCGGTTTCTCAAGAAAACATGAAACCCTGTATTTTAGTCTCACTCGCGCTCACACGGATCCCACTCAACGCGAGAGGGTGGGCTTTAACTTACATTAAGCAAGTTTACTGCCGCATGGCGTCGTGATCCAATAATGCAACACCATTACCATTTATTGAGAAACTTACTCATGACATTGTTTTATTGGAATGAATCCCACCCAATTGGAGAGCGCTGAAACTTACATGGGATGGGTTCATTGTCATGTGGCATCCTGATCCAGTAATTCAATGCCACATTATTGAGAAATTTACACATGACATTGTTTTATTGTAACGAGACGCTATGGTGGCAATGAACACGTCCCATGTAAGTCATTCTCGAGAGTGTGGGGTCCCGCAAATAAGCGGGTTATTTCAGGTTTTGCAAGATGCTACTTTGTGTTTCTTGGTGATTTAGGGTTTGTGTTTAAAATCCCATTTGTGTTGGGTTTATGTGGCTTAGCAAGAATGCATGCGTATGGAGTCCTTGAGGCTTTGTGGTGGAACCAGGATTAAAGTAGGAAGACAAGGTGGGTGGGTCTATAGCAGCATGTCTGCATGTGCATAACATTTATAGGATTGATGAAATCAGATTGCTGGACAGCTGGATGGGTTTGCCACTGGTTTTTGTCGTCTTTGAATCTACCCCAATATATAGATTAGTATATTGCTGATCCTACACAGATAAGAATGGCTTGGATTAGGATACTATTTTTTATTTAGAAAAACACAAAACTAGGTTTGTTGTTATGTTATTATTGAAGCCATTCCTCTAAAGTTATGTCTTCTATTAATTAAACAGTGTATTCTATGTTTAAAGCCATAAGCCATAAGCCAAATCACCATTAAATTGCTAAGTTTAATTTTGAGTCAACTACATTTTAAACCCTCTAGGTTTGGGGTTATTTTTAAAATTGGCCTTAAAGTTTTTATTTTCTCATATTGCACCCCAAGGTGTTGAAATTGTATCAGTTTGTGCCTTCTTACTGATTGATTGTATTACCCATTTTGAAAATCACCTCAAACTTGAAGGGTGGAAAATGTAGTTGGCCCTTTAATATTTTAACAGTCATGAAAGGGAAACCTGTCCTGGAGTTTGGTATGGTTTCTTGTTTAATGTGGGAAAAGAATGTGCCACCCTAATCACTGGGACAAAGTGCGCTACACTTGCTCGGTCAGTTCCTTTTTTAACTTGGACTTCGAGTAAACTGGCATGTTCAAATGCTTTAACATAATGGTATAATTGTGCTAGCAGTAAATCTAGTGGTTGCTTTTCTCATAAGCATCTTTATCTTTATTCTCCTTCTTTACAGATAGAAAATTTGGTCTTTGTAAATTTACAATTTTAAATGATGACACAGCAAACAAATCATAAGTTTCGTTTGTTGTCCTTATTGAGATTAGAAGTGCACTCCCTAATTTTAACTCTCATACTGAAAGTTTTTCCAAATGAGATCAGTTTCCACTACTGTTTCTGCATTTTGTTTGAAGCCTGCATTTTGTGAGGTAAATCATCAATACATCATTTTCAAAATTTTCACTTTTGTATTTTCGCTGATTCTAGCAGCATGGTTCTAAATATTAATGCTGCAAAATTGCAAATCCTGATTCCGGCAGCATGGTTCACTTTGTATTTTCACTTTTATATCCTTGTATAATCAGAAAAAAAAAAATCCTCCTTTTTCCGTGATAAAATTAAACACTTTTTGTGAATGTTGATATATTTGATTGCCATTGTTTCATGTGATGTTCTGCTCCTTCTAACTCTCTTCATGTGTTAATGCTTCAGGACACTAGGAATTGGCCGCTGATTGCTCCTTTGCCATCTTATGGAAGAGGGAGGGAGCTCCCTGGAGGAAGGTATATAAGCTTTATCCATGGAGATGGAGTTCATGATGTGGTTATCACTGGTACGTTTCAACGAGTTTTGATGTGGTTATCAAGGTATATAAGTTGGCATAGCTTCTGTTTTTTGTTGTATAGATACCTTATATCTAATAAAGTGTTCCCTTTCAGGTGAGAACGGAACCATTGATGGCCAAGGGGATGTATGGTGGAACATGTGGAGGCAAAGAACTCTTCAGTATACTAGACCAAATCTCATTGAGTTCATGAACTCGAAAAACATTATCATTTCCAATGTGATTTTCCAGAACTCTCCCTTTTGGAACATTCACCCTGTGTATTGCAGGTAACAGCCAAACTCTCCCTTTTTTATACGTTTGTTTTTATTTCAGATACGCATTTGCATGAATTAAGAATGTTTAATTAATTAAGGACTTTTTCCATATGGGTGATAATAAAAGGATATCTTTTAGAAATGGAATTGGTCTGAAGAAACTTGGAATCAAGTTATAAGTTTGCAAGAAAGAAGGGGATTGACGGGTCCATTCGCATTGTCCAAATCAATCAGAAATGTTAATTGAGGGATAGGACAAAGGATAGTTGCCACTTACCATCTTAACGTTCTAATGCTTAACTCACTTCACTAATAGATTCCAAGCCTTCTGTCGGTAGCTGAAGAGAACATATATTCGTGCAGAGGGTTGGTAACTTGGTAAATTGTATAACCAGTTCAACCTGAAGTTGAATGCTATCTAATTATGATTAGGTAGGAAATTTTGTATGCATTACTGTTAAATGCTTCATGAATTTTGCATGACTTTTCCAATATATTGAAATTATAAGCTGAAATTAGATCAAATCTACTTGCCTAAAACTGATATATATCATCTTAATCTGTTTTGTGTATATACTCTTGAAGCTATTATTATACATGTACTAGGGGTTGTGTTCGACTGGACACCTAATCGGCCTATGGGGAATCTACTTTGGTAGATCAAATTGATCTATTGTACGATTTCACGTTGGATACAGAAAAGTTAAATGAAAAAAAAAATTAATAAACATTATTTTATTCTATCTGGAGGCAATTGGGTTGAGAATGCACCTTCTGCAAGGAATATTGTAGTACTATTGAGCTGTAATTTAAGACTGATACATTCTTTCTTCTCTGCAGCAACGTTGTTGTCCGGTATGTCACAATATTGGCTCCATCTGACTCTCCCAACACCGACGGAGTAGATCCAGGTAGATGGGAATTTTCTAAATAGGCCACATCCTGTTCACTGAGAAAGAAAGATACCTGCTGCTAGATTGGAATTATCTTTAAATTTTCTAAATAAGCCACATCTTGTTCGCTGAGCACGCCATTTCTCGATTGGAATTATTTACAAAATTGTATAGATAAAGTCAGGATTAGTTGAAGAAATCACAAATTGTCTATTTTCCTCTAAATGGAGTGCGAAGCCTTTATGTTCATGATATATATCTTTGTATTCTCTTTGTATTCGTTTGTGCAGATTCAAGCTCTAATGTCTGCATAGAGGACTCCTACATATCCACTGGAGATGATCTCGTGGCTGTAAAGAGTGGATGGGATGAGTACGGGATAGCTTACGGTCGCCCAAGTTCTGACATTACTATCCGCCGGATTACAGGATCATCCCCATTTTCTGGAATTGCAGTCGGAAGCGAAACCTCTGGTGGAGTGGAGAATGTCCTGGCCGAACACATAAACCTTCACAATATGGGAGTTGGCATCCACATCAAAACAAACATTGGTCGTGGAGGGTTCATACGAAACATCACCGTGTCAGACGTGTACATGGAAAAAGCGCGGAAGGGAATAAAGATTGCAGGAGATGTTGGAGACCACCCGGATGAAAAATACAACCCAAACGCTCTCCCAGTCGTGAAGGGCATCACATTCAAGGACATCTGGGGCGTGCAGGTTCAGCAGGCCGGTCTAATCCTGGGCGTGAAGAACTCCCCTTTCACCGGAATCTGCCTCTCCAACATCAACCTCCACGGCGTGACGGGATCAAGAACGCCGCCATGGAAGTGCTCGGACGTCAGCGGGGCTGCTCATCTGGTCAGCCCTTTGCAGTGCTCGGAACTGAGTGCCCAACAAACAGCTTCATGTACCAACTACTAAAAAGTTAAATAAGAACTCTTCCTCTCTGTTCCCCTAAGCCCAAGAATTCAGCTCTGTAATTTTTGTTTGTTTGTTTGTTATTTTTCGCTATCCAAAAATACTATTTCTTATATTTGGGAAAATGAATGAAATGATGATTTACAAATCTCAAACGATCGAGAAGTCATTAGTATTTGATTTTAATCAGTTCAATAATTGAGATTTGCAAAACGAACCAGTAATCTTAAAACAAATTTCAAATTTATCAAGTGCAAATACATAAACACAATCCACTCATACTCAATACAAATACATACATCCATACGATTATACGAACACAAATACGATCCTACATCTCTCATGCGTGCAAAGTTATTTACAGAAACTGGTAGTAAGCAAAAAAGAGAGAGATCGATATGTGGGAATCAATCAATGCCTTCAAAGCTCAAAAGTGGTTCAAAAACTTGCGGACCCTCCTCATCAAACCGCCCCCATGATGCTCATGATCATGCTTGTGCTCTCTCGGCTGCTTCTCCGTTCCTTCGAATTCTTCGCGGCGGTCGTGGTGGTGTTCATGGTGGTGGCGGCGGTGGTGATGGTGATGAGGCCTCTCCAATTCCATGTCTTCCTCATGCCTGAACGGGAACCTCGGCCCACCGTGACGGATATTGACCCACCTAGCGGGGATCTGGCGCGCTCCGCCTCGAAACGCCGGATTGAACCCCATGTCGTCGCTGGACGCCACAAGCATATCGTTACCGTACGAAACGGCATCGCCCTCGCCTCCGTGAAAGCGCGGGGACATGGAGCGGTGGGCGTGGCGGCAGCGGTGCCCGTGACGGAAAGACAACGGGAAGGGGCGCCTGGGGAAGTGGCGGTTGACGGGGCGGAAGCTGATGACGGTCAACGGGACGGTTTCGCTGTGCTGGAACTCGGTCGACTCTTCGTTGGCTAAGATGGTGGCGCCGTCAGATTCCGGAAGCTTCGAGGTGGTGATCTCGCGCCATTCGGGAAGGGTTGCGGGATCGTCGACGGGTTTCTCGCTAGGCAAGAGGATGGTGGTGGTGGGCTGTCTGGGCTTGGGCCTGGATTCGGGAAACTTGGCGCCGGCTGGATCGCGGCCGCTGATTTCGTTGGCGGGTAGGTCGGACGACGTGCGGGCGTGGGAGAGGGCGAAGAGGAAGAAGAGGGCGGCGACGGTGAGGAGGAGCTTGGCCATTTTTCAAATATTGTGTGAATGGAAGAAAACGAGCGGTTGGTGGATATATATACCTGAAGGTTGTAGTATTTCGGGCAGGTGGGGCAGTTGGGATTTTGAAAATTGTTGACTATTTGATAGAGGATTGACTATTTGAGAGAGGGAAAGGAGCGAAAGGCGGGCAACGGGCAATGGGGCCACCGGCCACGTGATTGGAGGGAGGGGGTTGCCGGTAAGTTTGGGTTCATCGACTAGATTGACTTGTGATATATGGGCTCGTGGTCTTCCATAATATGCAGATTAACCATCGATAAGCTGAATATATTGTAGGGTGATTGATCAAAAACCATCAAAGATGTGCAAACCGATCCTTCCACGTCTGTACTCGTGTCTTTCCTGTGAACACGCATGAGGACGCGTCATTGGACATTGACTTTAGTTTAGTTTCAAATTTTGTTTGTAGCGACTTAAGCGGGTTAGGGAATAGATTTTGTGTTACTCCGGTGATTTGTTTGTGTGGCTTATGCGATTTATGTGTTCTTGTACTATTGTCAATATAATGTTGAGAAAACAATACAAAAGAAAAAATAATTTTTGTCAATACAATTCTAGATTCAATCAATTAGAATTATAAGAAAAAATAAGAGGAAAAAAAAAAAAAAAAGACTTGTGTTGGATTTCACCATATCTAATATTTATATTTCTATATACGACACAACATTGATACAATATTGGTGGAAAAATAAACCAACTAAAAAAAAAAAGAGGTTTATTCACTAAAATAAGCAAGTGAAATTCTTTGTGTTTTTTTTTTTGTTCTCTCAATATGGAAATAGCTCAGATCATTGTCGAGAGGGAAACAACCCAGATCACTAGCCAGGGCCCCTAAATGACCGCTCAGTGATAAAGGAGGAAAGGGTGCAGAGACAGCCAAGAGGTACTCCTAGAAGCAACCACCCTTGAAAGTGTGTGTAATAACTCACTGATTGAGCACTCTTGCACTGCCGAAGCTATACGGTGTAGAAATGCCTCTGTAGGGGAGTGTTCCGCCGCAGAAACGAGAATGTCGGCTTGAGTAACGCAAACATTGGTCAGTATCCAATGCCCTGAGAACCTAAGGGTTCCTTTGCAAGGTTCATCCACAGAAGGTGAGTCAGGACCTAGGATCAAGCTGAAAGCAGTAGTCGATGGACAACAATGAATATTCCTGTACTATTTCTTGGTGGTCTCGAGGTATGGAGGAGTCTAGGTTAGCTGAAAGATGGTTATCATTTCAAGGACGCGGGATGCTCTTAATTTTTGAGGGTAAAAAGGGGTAGAGAAAATAGCTCGAGTTAATGTTCGAGTACCAAACGCCATGACACTGAAGTAATCCATACCATACTCTTAGGAAAAGATATATAGAGTAAAAAAAAGATATGGAGTTCGGAAGGGAGGGGGTTTTCTTCGGGCTTGAGAGAGGGAAATAGATAGAGCCCCGCAAGTTTTTAATTTGTTGTAGGGGAATTTACACAAAGGGGGACGAGAAATTCTCAACGAAGAAAGTGCTCTCTAAACTGAACGTGAAAGTAGTTTTCCATTAGATGGTTATTCCTGTAACTCCACTATCCACTTGGATTACATATCCAAAAAGGTCTGCTTACTACCATTCCACATGCAACCTAGCAAAGGAGTGGTTTTCTGATGCAAATTATCTCTTTTCTAGTAGATGTCGAACCTGCTACCCAAAGGGGGCGGCGCAGCAGCTAGCTACACGGACCCTTTCCTTTATGTTGTTGGAGTTTAGGATGTGTCATATTACCCATTCATGTAACATCCCACATCGTCCAGGGAAGTTGATCTTGTAAGCCTTATATGTATATTCCCATCTTTACCTAGTACGAGACATTTTGGGAACTTATTGGCTTCGGGTTCCATCGGAATTCTGAAGTTAAGCTAGTTCGCTCGAGAGCAATCCCATGATGAATGACCCACTGGGAAGTTCTCGTGTGAGTTCCCAAAAACAAAACCGTGAGGGCGTGGTCGAGGCCTAAAGCGAACAATATCGTGCTACGGTGGAGTCGAGCCCGGATGTGGTGGGGGCCTGGGCCAAGATGTGACAATTTGGTATCAGAGCCAATCCCTCGTCGGAAGTGTGCCGACGAGGACGTCGGGCCCCTAAGAGGGGTGGATTGTAACATCCCACATCGCCTAGGGGAGTGGATCCTATAAGCCTTATATGTATATTCCCATCTCTACCTAGCATGAGGCCTTTTGGGAGTTCACTGGCTTCGGGTTCCATCAGAACTCCAAAGTTAAACGAGTTCACGCGAGAACAATCTCATGATGGGTGACCCACTGGGAAGTTCTCGTGTGAATTCCTAAAAAAAAACAGTGAGGGCGTGGTCGGGGTCCAAAGAGGACAATATCATCTTACGGTGGAGTCGAACCCGAGATGTGGTGGAGGCCTGGGCCGGGATGTGACAATTCATTTTAACAGGTTTGACATGACATGATCCGTTAAAATATCAGGTATGTCACGAAAACAATACGAACACGATAAACATGACATGATAACCATGTCTACTCGCCAAAGATGGAATGGTTATATGTGCATATAGTCATCTTTGTTGTACCTTCGTTAGGTGTCAAATGTGATGTTGTACCTTATTCGATTTAGTTATATAGCTTGCTATGTCATTCTTTCAATGGAATTCAATGTGATGTTGTACCTTATTATGTATTTGTGTGGTTTTCAAGGTGATGTTATACCTTATTATGTATTTATGTGGTTTTTAACATGTATAAATATGAGAAAAATTCAATAAACAAACAAGGACTAGTCAAAATTTTGTTTTTTCCCCTTATTTTTTTAATTTTTTTATTAATCATCAACTTTTCTCTTAAAAATAATAATAGTTTGAAGTCCTCTTATCTGGTACAATACTAAATATAGTATAAATAATACAATCAAAAGTCTGATATTGTACCAAATGCCCGCTAATTTAGTCAGTACACTTTAATGACTATTTATCCTATCCGACTAAATAGTCAGTACAATCCTAACTGGCAAACTAGACCTTAATGTATATGATATTGTATGTATTAAGAAATAAATTGTAATTAGTTCGGTTTGATAAACTGCTTCAAAGGAACTAAATTGCCTATATTTTTTTTTGGCACTTAGAGTTTATCTTATTCTTCTATGTATTGTCCAATTTTATCGGGTGCCCCTGAAGGGACCTTAGAGTTTTTCTTAGGGAATTTTAATAAAAAGCCCACGGTACTGTTCATTTTAATGAAAAATCTCATTTTTACACTAAAAAGTTAAACCTGGTACTATTCACTTTACCCTTTATTTTGTCTTTATCGTTAAAACTCAAAGTTTTCAAACCCTTTTCATTAGTTTTCTTTTTTTCTTGTTGGCTTACTATAATAATTCATCTTACACATTGATATCAACTATTCAATGCCAAAATTGAAAAACCTAACTCCAATAATGGGAAGTTTTCTCAATTAGTGTTCATTTTGTTGAAGTTTCTAATCTGCGATCGAGAAATAGAATTGCTTATCGTTTATGACAAACAATAACCGCCGCAAATCGGTTTCTAATACATTGATTTAAATTAATTATGTTACTAGTTTAAGGCCTTAAAACCAATACAAACATTGACTTTATATTTAGTTCAATTTGTATCTTGAGGTATAAACCAAACTAATCCGCACCTACTCCTAATCAAGGTTCCTAAAGACATAAGGCGTTGGTCGGACGGTGAGCTGGGACCTAGCGCCTAGGCTGTTAGGTGGGGCCTAGGTGGACTATTCGGATTTAAGGAAATTTATATTATATTGTATACATAAATGTCGATTTATACTTCAAAAATACATAATTGTATTGAGATATATAAATTGCAAAATAAAATGACATATAAATTAAAGTATTATAACATATTGAAAATATGGAGGACAATCATATAATGAGTGTTAATCCAAGTA